AGTGGCTCAAGTCCGACATCGGCCATTCCGTCTTCACAGCACACCCCCTCGCACATTGGAATTTCCGGGAACACCGAGGAGACATCCGATACCAGGGCGACACCACCAACTCCTTCGGCTGACATGATTGCCGTTATGAGAGAAATGAAGGATCTGATTTCTACCCTCTCACAGCAATTAAATTCAAGGGGTAGGTCAAACGATGATAACATATCACCACCTCCAGTGCAGTTCGTGTCATCTGATACCATTCCCTATGTAAATTTTGTTGATGAACATACAAGAAGGAAAACACACCAGGGGAAATATATTAATCTAGCATCACTGCTGCTGCCTACACAAGAAGCTGGAGACTATAGAGTCTCAGAAGAATCAGGAGGGTGTAGGACTGTCAAAGCCGATCCCCGACTCAGCAGAAACTTGAACTTTGCTGAATTTACCAGATCTTTCAAAATCTACAAAGACATTTTCAGCGAAGCGTGGCCAAACAGAAGAGCCCAACTGGACCAACACGAACATACCGTTGGAGAGCTACACAACCTGTATGGTGGTTTCGTCCATTATGAATACCACAAACGCTTTGCTGCTCGTGTCGCGGCACTAGCTGAGAGGGGGATACACCTCGACTGGGGGATCCCCGATACCAGGATCTACACGACCTGTACATCCGGACTACGCTGTAGGTCTTGCGTACGATGTGCCAGCATTAGCCACGACACAGCTACATGCCCATCAGTGCTGGGGCAAGAGAGTGACTTGCCTCGGGCGGCAGCCATAAGGAAGACCTACACCCCTTCATCGACTACAACCGATTCATATGGACGGCAGAGGATACAACACCAAGGGCGAGAAGTTTGCAATAACTTCAACCAGGAAGGATGCATGAGATCGCGGTGCAATTTTCTTCGTGTTTGTGCCTCTTGCTTTGGCCAAGGTCACAGTAAGCTCGATTGCCGGAAGACCAAACATGCTCATGACAAGCAGCAGTCATACGAGAAAAAATGACCATCATTGACACCACTTAACGTAGACAAGTTACAAGAAGAACTGGCTTCCCATCCAGACGCAGACTTTGTGGAATATGTAACCAATGGACTTAAATATGGTTTTCATCCCCTTGTGTCATCAGTGCCAGATGAAACTTGGGAGTGTAGGAACAACCTGAGTGCTCGAAAAGACCCCGCAACTGTTACTGCATTAGTGCAACAAGAACTGGACAAGGGCTATATCGATGGACCATTTAAACATTCACCTTTTGAACTGTTTAGAGTTAGTCCACTGGGGCTAGCAGAAGGTAAATATAGCATGAAGAAAAGGTTGATCCTCGATTTGTTAGCACCTCATGACCACTGTGAAATTATGAGCATCAATGACATGATAGACAAAGACGTGTGCTCGCTAACCTATGTGACAGTAGATGATGCAATAAAACAATTGAATAATGTTGGCAAGGGTGCTCAAATGTGCAAGGTGGATGTCAAAGATGCATTTAAACAAGTACCAATCCATCCCGATTTCTGGCCACTGTTTGGATTCAAATGGGCGAATGAGTACTATTTCTTCAAACGTCTCGCGTTCGGGTGTAGATCTAGTCCCCGCATCTTTGATCATATCTCACAAGCTATTGAATGGATTCTAAAAAACAATTACAATGTCAAATTCATGCTCCATTTACTTGATGACTTTCTAACCATCGATAGTCCCACATATCCAGCTTCCAATACTATGAACACTCTCAGAGATGTCTTCAAAAAGCTACAGGTTCCCTTATCTGAACATAAAACGCTGGGACCAGCTTGTGAGATGGAGTACCTGGGTATAGTGCTAGACTCTGTGACAATGACAGCCCGGCTCCCCCGGGACAAACTGTCCAGGATATCCACCATGATTCAAGATTTCAGTCACAAGAGAAAGTGCACCAAACAACAGCTACTATCTTTGATTGGACATTTGTGCTATGCCTGCAAAGTTGTGGTGCCTGGGCGGTCATTCGTGTCGTATCTCATTGATCTCTCCAAGTCAGTGAAAAAACTGCATCACAGAGTGACCATATCTGCGGAATGTCGTGCAGACATGAACATGCGGCACACGTTTCTTCACAAGTGGAACGGGGTGTCATTCTTCCATGAATCGTCATCGACACCAGCTCCAGACATGAGACTGTATACTGATGCCTCTACTTTAGGATTTGGAGGATATTTCAATGGTTCATGGTTCTCTGCACCATGGCCAGTCAACATGCAACGTCTGTGCCGTAGTAGCAGTCGATCTATGGCTCTCCTGGAACTCTACCCCATTGTGGTAGCAGCAGTGATGTGGGGTGAAAAGTGGTCAACAAAAAAGATTGTGTTCTATTGTGACAACGAATCTACTGTATGCATTATTACAAAGGGTAGATCAAAATGCAAGGACATTATGCCTTAAATGCGCAGGTTAACTTCTCTAGCTGCTTCTCATAATTTTGTTGTACATGCAAAACATGTGCCTGGTGTCTCTAATCAAATTGCTGATTCTCTGTCTCGGCTGCAGATCGCTCGGTTCCGGACACTAGCCCCCAAAGCAGATCTTCAAGCTACACCGTGCCCACCCCCGTCACAACTGACATGGGTCTGGCAAAACATCTGAACACCCTATGGGATGCAGCAATCGGAACAAGAACCAGAACTACTTACGCAACTGGTTTCCAGTCCTACATCTCATTCCTCCTTCGATACAGCTTGTATACAACTCTGACGCAGCCCTTCGGAAACTTACCACCAGTGAACTCGGCACTGCTACAACAATATGTGGCTTACTGTTTTGGTGAAGCTAAACTTCAGTATAGCACTGTGAAGTCATACCTTGCGGGCATTCGATTCACCTATCTGAAAGCAGGTATCCACACAGTGTTTGATCTAGTCTCCTGTGGTGCTCTAAACCAACTGCAGACTCTTCTACATGGGTATAAAAGACTGCAGAAACCCAGTATATCTACACGCCTGCCTATAACTTATGATGTGCTAACAAAGATTGTGCTTAAACTAAGAGAAGGAGTGTTAGGACCATTTAACGATCTGGTTATGGAGGTCATGTGCACAACAGCCTTCTTCGGATTCCTCAGGTGTGCTGAATTTACATGTTCACGTGAATTCGATGCAAGTACCAACGTAACTGTGTCGGATGTGACAATGGATCATATCCAAGGGAAGTGTACTCTGACACTAAAAGCCTCCAAAACTGACGTCTTCAGACAGGGTGTCAACATATCTCTGTTCGCTAACTACACGACCATCTGTCCATGTGCTAACCTTAACCGCCTCAAACAAGTAAGACTCTCGCAGGGTGCCGCGAACAGTGACCCTCTTTTCGTAGACTGTGTGGGGAAGGCGATCACACGTACAGTGTTGCTCCAATGGCTCGCCCAAACTATGAGACATGCAGGACTCGATTCCAGGAAATATTCAGGACACTCATTCCGTATTGGTGCAGCCACGTCTGCGGCTAGTGTACGCATGGAGGATCACTTGATAAAGACACTCGGCAGATGGCAGTCTGATTGTTATAATCGGTATGTGCGTACACCCGAATCTGTTATTAGGAATGCACCGTTGTCACTCATACGGCATCTACCCAAGGACTGAGCCTTAGCAGCAATCTTTCTCATGGTTGCATTATTTGCATGTCTTCATGTTCCTATCACATTCATGTTTGTATTTCGCAACTTGGGGGCTCTCATTGCTTAAATATTTTAACGGGGGACTCGCTTTCTTAAATATATTAATTCATTCGCTTTGGGCAATTACCCACTTAACACTGGATCCTTATCCCCCAAGTTTTAAACCAGAGCTCAGGTTACAGCCGGGTCCGCAGACCCCACTTTAGCAATCAGAGTCCGCAGACTCCCCACACCTCTTCATCCAAGCCGGCGCAGCGGTTCCAGTACGGCAACCTAGCTCTTGGTCATCCCTTCTTCAATTATCAGTCAGCTCCCAAGTTGTGCCAAATAAATGTTTATTAATAAAACAACTGTTGTGTTAAATTGCTCGTTGTGTTGTGTTTGCACAAACTCAAATGTTGAGTGGAGGTGCACCTTTTGGTCTTTCCCTTCTGATTTTATTATTAGTTTTCCTTTTCAGTCCCATTCCGCTATTCCCTGTACTATTACTGAGTATATTTAGGTGCAGTGGGTAGACTTGTGGGTATATATCATTCTGATATGGTTCTCTGTCTTCTGTGATTAAGTTTTTGTCATTTGCACTTCTGTTATGAGAGTGGTTTTTTTTTGTAATTTCTACTATCATTGATTAAGTGATGGTTGTTATGGGTCACAACGTTTAAAATGTTTGTGTGTGAGTGGCTGCTCACACCTTGTATCATGTATGTTCAATGGCAGTAGTACTTTTTAGCGGTACACCTTTTTGATAGCGCTCCAGGGTTGCCTCCCTTGGCTTATTTTGTTTTGACTCCCGGTCATATATTCGATAAAATAGCCTAATGTTCTGAGTGGATAGTGATGCTGCCCACATTTACTAGAATGCTCGAGAAGTGTGTAAGAGCTATATAAAGGCTGGTTGATGTGTTGTGCAGCAGGACTAACACACAGACTTTATTACATGACTGGATTTATACATGTGTCTGCCATCGTCCACATTGCTAGTCTGACCGTGCATGCCTGACTGCTCTCCTTCTAAACAACCTTCAATTTGTAAATCTGCTCTCACTGTGAATGTCAAGACTCTGGTGAGTTAATATTTTGTATTTGTGACCCAATATTTAATCTTTCGGACTCAATTGCATTGAACTAGAAATCTGTATTGTCATCCATTGTAGCTTGCTCATTGTTTGTTCAATATATTATTGAATATTTTAGACTTGTCTGTGTTCTATCTTGCTGGTTCAAAAGGGACTCTTATACCTTTTGTCACGGCAAATTATTTGACCATAACTTTACCGCCATTCATCCCCCACATAATACAACTGAAATACAGATTTTACACATGGCATTGCATTGTTGGTTTCAGCCCTGGCGTTGAGATGTTCACTCACAATGATTCCTGCATTGAAAAGTTCTGTATGGATGCGGATGTGTTTGTTCTGGTGGCCAATGCAATGTGCACACTGACGCAGACAGTGAGTACACTCCACAGACATTGGGGGTCGACATTCACTGATGTGTTGGTGCTGTGGTACACACTTTTACTAATGCATGGTTTCACGATTTGTATTGATTCGTTGCCTGTTAGTAAGAGTCTATGGTGCTATATAAGAGAATACTAAGATTGGGTTTTGCTGATATAGAAGGGGTAAATTTCATTTCCGGAGCAGAATTCTGAAACTATTTGACCCATCTTCACCAAATTTGCTATACTGCCTCTCCATATCATATAGATGTACCTTTTGGGGCCTTGAGGTTTATTCTTTCAATTTTATTTTTTGTTGTCTTCATGGCAACAATATGGACTTTGTCGTTTTGAAGGGTAAAGTTCGTTTCCGGAGCATACTTCTGAAAATAATTGACCCATCCTCACCAAATTTCCTACACAGCCTCTCCATATCATGTAGATGTGCCTTTTATGGGTTTGAACGTTTCTTTCAATTTTATTTTATTCATATTTATGAGACAGATACAGCATACCGAAGATCTGGTGTTGTTCTATGCTACTATAGTTTCCATGATATCACCTATGTTGTGCTTTATTTGATTCCAGTGAAAATGTTACATCCATAACTGAATGTGATACAATTTGATTCTGATTCAGTAATTTGTTGAAATATTTATTGACAACTTTGTGACTGAAAAGCAACAGATTCATTCATGCATTTTGAATGAGAATCACAATTCTGAATGTTTCGTAAATTAAAACTGTTGAGTTGTTGATTTGTTGATGAGCAATTAAGTTTAATTGAATATAAAATATTAAATGAAGACTTTACAAACATAATAACAGACTATCAATAATATGTATTTTCATACTAGAGATTTTGAAATTGAAGGAATCAAATGAATTGTTTGAGGTCTCAACGTTGAATTGGGGGAAGGGGGAGACATATGTTTTTACGAGTAAATACACTTTCTAGTTAAGTAATGATATATGACTCCTGCAGGAGAAGAACTTCTTCCACAAAGTGAGCTCTCATCTTTTGAAATCCAACATCTTTGTACTACAGAACCACTGGGATGCGTCCTCTAGGGAGAGGAACGTAGAAAATGTAAGTACAGTCCTATCCCACTGACGTGGCACACTTCTGTAAATGTGTGGCAGATACAGCTTGATTCGCAGCTGGGAATTTACCTAACTAATTATATTGCAATTGTCTTGTTTAGAATACTGTCAGCCGATAACATTGTTGATTATAATTTTGGCTAATTAATGTACACTGACCATGATGTTTATGAATATTGTGATTAGATATATATGTATTTACTTGTGATAGTGATAACTTGTATATAAGGACGTCAGTCAGTAACCCAAGTATATACACAGACAAAAGTATGACGTACGCGTAAGCATGGTTGGATGGTGGGATGTGTGAGTGTTATTTGATGACGTTTCAGTTTCAACTTATGAACAAGTGATTGTGGCATTGGAATGTAATAGCTTATAAATCTTCTTACAAATCTATCTATCTGTCTATCTATCTATCTATATACAAGCCACATCAAGAAACTGTGCATTGTCAAAATATTATCCCAGTTGATAAGTACGATAACAATGTCAAAGGTACATATAAACTTTAATGGAGGGATCATGAGACCATAACAAGTCGGGAGAATTTCAATTGAAAAGTCAATCACAATGACGTCACGAGTCCACAAGCGGGACAGGGGTCAAACGACCATGTCACAAGCTCAAAAACGGGTATGTCCACCATCGGCATTGAGAACAGCAGTGCATCGACGACGCATAGAGCCTATCAAACGTGCAAGGAAGGCTTGTGGGATGTCACGCAAGATTCTCTCAAGTGTTAAGGTCAAGGACGTTATCTGGCGGATGAGGAAGACGGCGTAGACGTCGATCCATCTCGTCCCAAACATGCTCTATCGAGGAGAGATCCGATGAATTTGCAGGCCAAGGCAGTAAGTCAACGTTATGGTGGTGCAAGAAATCCATAGCAACCCTTGCCGAGGGCGGGCATTGTCCTGTTGGAATGTTAACCCAGGGCCATGACGTTGCAGGAAAGGAATTGCCACAGGTCGAAGAATCTGATCCCTGTAGCCCACACCAGTTAAGTTGCCCTGAACAATCACAAAGGAGTTCTTTGGCGTGATGTTATTCACCCCAAATCATCACGGAAACAACACGAAAGCAATTCCTCTCCAAGACACAGGCCTGTGCATAACGTTCTCCCACGCGTCTGTAGGCACGTTGACGTCCATCACTATGGGAAATGTTAAACCTTGACTCATCTGTAAAAACAACATTTCTCCACCAAAACAGGGTCTGCAGACATGATTTCGGCACCACATTCAGCGAGCTTGTCGATGACGTTGTGTCACGATAGGCCGTATGGCGGGACGTTGTGGTCTGATCCCGTGATGACGTAAACGTTGTCTAACTGTGTTGGTGTGGATACGGCGAAGTCCTGGGATGGTTCGGGCAGTCACCACTGCAGTCTGAAACCTGTGGCGAAGATATGTCACCCTTATCCATCTGTCCTGTCTTGGCGTTGTTACACGTGGACGTCCAGAACATGGCCGATCGATGGCGTCATTTGTGTTCTGGTAGCGTCTCACCTGTGGCAGTGGAAATGTACAGCCACTTCTCGTTGAGACATTCCCCCACGGACCATCCCAATGGCCTCATGACGTTGTACAGACATGAGCCTTGGCATGCTATGCGTTTCAATAGCCGTTTAATTTTTTGAACGATCGCAAGGGCAGGGGTTGAGCTTTCCAAAGTGACAGTATTATCTGGCATTCATTTGCTCTGTTTCTCTTTCCCGGAATTCACGTGCAACAACGTATTGCACGTCTCAAGGACGAACCCGCTGACGTCACGGAACGTAGCACGTGCATGCATGTTGGATACATGTCACTAATCTCTGAGTTTAAATCCTTATGTGTCTACACAGGTTTGATAAATTTAGATTTTAAATTTTTCTATGCACAGTTTCTTTATGTGCCTAGTATATATATGATATTATATAGCGCACATATCCAGGCAACTACTGCTTACTTCTTTTAAGTGCACAGGGTTGTGTACTGCACACTGAAAGAGTCTGCACACAAAGTTGTCTCCAAGGTTTTTACACCCGGTCTCAGGTGGGCTCGATCCCGACACCTCAACCTCGCTGGATCACTAGCCTGGCGCCTTAGCCAGCTCTCCCACTGCGCCCAAAACGGGGGCGCGGTGGGCGAGCAAGTAAGATTGAGTCGTGTAGTTATGTATCATTTATTTAACCTGACGCAAAACAGCATTCAGTTACACAGCTGTTGTGATGCCATTACACTATCTTTGGGTTGGAGGCACAAACGCCTCTATGATATACACTTGGACAATTCAAAATGAACTTTCAGACACTGATACTTAGTCTCTTTGTATTTGGGCAATTCCAAATGACAATAATGTAGCAAAATTATTAGGAGCCACTTGACCATGTGAATAATCCGATATAATTGTGTCTCTTTATGTCATAGTTAATGCAGAAATTGAGGTTTTTATACATCTATAATTTAAACACATTCTGCGTTATTACTGATCGAAAACGTTAATAAACTGACTTAAAAACAATTTAGACATGTAATAGAGCTCACGTGTACTAGTTTCAGAGTATAATTTCAAATTGCAGAATCGGAAAATCCATTCCATTTTGTAGCACCCATTAGCTTTTCCTGGAATTGAGGGACGATTAGTATCTCAGAATCAGTTCGAGAGGCCTATTCAGTAAAAGTACCGCGAGTGCTGAGCGCTGAGCGTACATGATATACCGTGTTTCTGGAAGATAACTCAAAAACCGTTCATTGTATCTTTTTGAAACTTTGCATGTGCATTACTCAAGTACTGAAGTGGTGTCGTTTGATATTTTCAGATTTCAGAAATTTTTATTCTTTTCCGTTTCATTTGGAAACCAGATGGATTCGGACAGAACAGGGATGGTTGAATTTCTTTGAAGGGCTTGGATTCACATGTTTTTTGCAAATAAGCGGGACCGGGGAGATATGTCATCTTTTGTCGACTTGTTACCATCCGTCATAAAATAGAAGCAACATGTAGGACTATGTTTCCACCGTCCATCACTAGTACTTCATTTACACTAAGAGAGTGAGTAATATTCAACGTAACATTGGCAATATTTCAGTCATATCGTGATGAGAAAACTTTTGTCGTTGAAATGGAATATGTGTATATTCTAGTAAAACAACTAGACTATCATGGTTAGAATTCAAACTAGCATGTTGAGTTAAAACTAATGATACTATTGGGACAATACATAATATGAATAGGCTATAGATCACCAACAACTGAAGGTAGATCACCATGATCATCTGCAGCAGCAGGTTGGAGCAAAACATCTTGAATATTGCTTCTCAAACTTCCTTAAAGGTCACATGCAACGTAAAACACAACTTTGCAGATTCTGATACCTTTCGGTATGGACGTACCGAAACAAATCATCAAAAATGCAATTTCAAGTTATAAATTTAATAAATAACGCGATGAAAAAAAACACGCGAAATCGGAGTTCAAACGATTCACTAATTTTCCCCCGAAAATTTTGGGGGAAAACGGGTTTCAACAGCTGGGCTGCGCTCATTGCATGTGCGCAGTGAAATAGGTTCACGAACTTGGAAGCGCGCTGTCTGGTGAATACTCGGTCAAGGCTTTGGTGTGAGCTATTTTCCTAATGTTTTGTTGATATCTCACAGGCGCGAGCTTTTTATATGTTATGACAGTAAATAAACTGTTTATATAATTTCATTTATCTATTTCACCACATGTTCTTCTTACCGAGTCACTTTCTCAGTTCGATACTTAAAAGCAATGTCATTATTTAGCGTTGACAGAATTTCTAACTGTGACATAGATATGTCGTTGTCACAGACAAAACTCAATGTCTTGTTTTATTGACACCTGTGTGTCTGCCTGCCTGTCTGCTAATGACAATATTCAATACACAACTGCGATCACTGACCACATGCAATTTGAACTTAACACCAATCAGGCTATACACCATAAACAAAACGCATTGATTTATGGCCCGAGTTCGGTCTCTGTCACATTATGTGATTACACAGACAGGCAGGTGTGATACTTGAACACATGACATGTTATGATGTCTGTTGATTGCAAAATGTTATACACAAAAAAATGAGCATGTATTTACAAAACCCAACATCTCTATATATACACACACAATGAGCCGTGAAGGCGGGCATCTGCAAATGAACCAGCCGTTACACTTGAGTGCACCCGCTCTGACTGGGTTCGGTATCCCGGCTGCTTCGTTTCGAGGGAGGTAAACCCAAGTACAAAATATTGCACTTTTGATTTGCAATTATACGCTTATAATTTTGTTTATTTGTTTTTTCATAATCAGCAATGCATATTATATGTCATGAAGAAGTGATAATTGTGTTTTAATTATGTATAATTTTTGGGTTGCATGTGACCTTTAAGTGGCATTTAGAAGCTTGTACCACCATACTAGGGTCCGGCGATGGGAGTACCGATCTCTAATAGAAGCAAACCTCTAATAGGCGGAGGTATTGTCATCGTGATGCTCTTGAAATCAGCTTCACAGCCTATCATCTCACGTCCATCTCACTAAATTTCTTAATTTAGACAGGTGCCTCCAACGGTGCCTTTTAAAAGTTTTTTTTGTATAACATTACTTCCAAAGTAAACGATTGCAAAGATTCTCTCACCAAGTCTGTCAAAAATATGATCCCCCCTCGATCACAACGGAAACTTTTGACTAATTCATTGTAATCGTAAAATGTTAAATGTCCTTATGTTCTGGAAAATGTCTGAGGTGCGCCATTTTGTTGAGTTAAGAAAATTCTTAGGTCGACTTAGGAGTCCTCTGTGATGACTCCTAACCCTTTGCTCACTCTAACAGTAAAGAGGCTTTATAACTAGATCTTTAAAGGGCAAGTTTACACGAAAATTAACCTTTTGTCTTGCACTTCTTCTACATAAAACCGTTGAAGGACCTAACAGGATATTACGTTTTTCTTCACTATTAGAACAGTCACTGCCTTGTCACTA